GCATTTAGCCCTGGATTCCTTTGACCCCCAAATGGGTGTGAGAAAGGGAAAACACACACTGAGTGTGTGAGACTAAAGGTTGATTCAGGAGCCTTGTGTCTGAGCAGAGCCCTCCCAGACTCTCAGAGTGCCACAAAATGCAGCTACGAGAGCTCTGGAAATGATGGAGAGACAGCAGACACCAATTTTATGTGAATGCAGTGAAGGTAACACTGTGTAAACGCAATTTAAAGAACTGAGATGGGTAATCCAGGTGGAGAATGTGCAGTGTCCAGCCAGAGGCCTCTATCAAGAGATGCATTACCAACATTGTGGGGTTAAACTCCCTTTTCATCTGCTGCATAACAGATGTGCTGCTAGGGAGAGTGGCAGGCAACTCCATGCCCTGGGGAGAGTCATTTCATCTCTTCCCATCTCTGACATGCTCCTTAGTGTTGCTCACATCTAATTTCACAGGAAGTGGTTCGACAGAGGATGTGTCATTCCAGATGTATTTGCACATGAGTAACTGAATCTTGTGACCTTGACTGGCATCTTTAGAAATAGTAACAATAAATAAGCCCACATGTCTTGCAAGAACACGGTTTTTTACCCAAGCAAGCACATTTTTTTTGGAGAAGCACGAGCTTTTCAGCATCTTCTCCACAGCCTGTTGCATGAACAGCAGCCAGAGAATGGAAAATGTGTGCTGCACTTTCACCAAAGAGCAAAACAACTTCCCTGTGTTTTAAAGTCTTTTGTAAAGTATCATCAGGTGATTATACTGTGAGCCTCAGTGATTGCAGCATCTGACCAACTCAAGTCTTTCCAGCATGCCCTTTGTCTCATTCCACTAACTCCTCTGATTCACTGCAATTTAGATTCTATTAGCAGAAAAGAAAAAAAAAAAAAAAAAAAAGCCTGCCTGAACAGAACAATTTCCTCACTGGTGCTTCCCAAGAAGTGGGAGGTTGTGATTCTGGAACAAAGCCCTAACCCAGTACCCAGGAAGAGAGTGATCTTCACACTCATCTTCCCAGTGTGCTTCAAACAACAGGTTTTTAAATGTGTATGTGGGCACAGGACACATTGACATCCACAAATGTATTCACAGATCAGAAAATAACCTGACATTAAAGCCAAAAGTAGTAGTTGCAGTGGAAGTGTGAGAGTACATATGTTGCAAAAGTGAGTACAAAACCATTGAAAATACCACAATAATCATGTCAGTGGAGTTAAGCTTTTAGCCTTTGACTTGGAAAACAGGACCTCTCACCTTGAATTCACAGAATTTCATTACAAACAAAATTAGATTGCTGAGGGGAGGAGCAGGAATTGATCACAACCTGAATCAATTGAGTCTGAAGTACAAAATCGGAGCTGTCTTCTCTGGGGAGAACAGATTTGGCACTGAGTTGATTCTCAGCTTCTTTTGGAAATCCAGCCCACATCTGTAGAGATACTTTATATAAGAACACATCTATACTTCTGGAGTGTTTCAGAGGGCTGGATTTGTCATTCATTGCTCACAGTGGGCACCACCATAAATGTCCTTGAATGTTGCAAGTAGCCATGGTCACCTGCCATGGCTCAGTGCTGGGTTAATGGCTGGAATCAATGATCTTAGAGGCCTTTTCTAACCTTAACCATGCCCT